TAAAAATGCATTTTTATCCCTTTATTTTGTTTGGAGAATCCATTTTAAACTCACATCAACTATTTTTGTACACTTAAAATAACAAGTTAAACAAAATGTTAGACAATAAAATGAAGCAAAAAAGGCATCAAAACTAGAAAAATGATGTCAAAACAGAAAAGGAGGGGATAAAAAGCTCAGTTTTGTTATGACTGAATATGGTTTTAAAGGGAATTTATAACAGAGCTAAAATATTCTTAAATAAATCAAACAGTTTGCTGAAAATAAAATTGAGTCAATAAAGCAAAACAACAACAACAGCAGAACAGTAAACAAATTTGCAGAACAGTAGCTTAAAACAAAAAACAGAAAAACAGAAACTAAAAACTAAAAGTAGAGAAAGCTTAGCTTATTTACCAAAGGTTAGCTAAAAGTAGCAAAAGGTAGCTAAAACTTGCTTATAGGCTACTGTGCTAAATATCAACACTCTGCTAAACCTCAGTTTACATTAACGACTCTCTCTTGTTTGTACTTGTACTGATCCACTAAATGTTTAAATAAAAAAATATACCGTACCTAAATAAGTGCGTTTTAACAACTGAGAAAAGTATATACATATACAGTATACAGTATATATACAGTATATAAAGACTGCGAAGGCTGAAAAATCTTGAAGTCTGTATGAAATTGGAGGTAGTTTGAGGATAAATTTTTTTTATTCTTTTTAAGATGAAAATAGGGGGGGTCGTATTATACATGAGATCGTATTATACACGAATAAATACAATAACTACTTCACATGTTTTCTAAATGGATGGTGTAGGATGCTTTAAAGTAATCATTCTAAGTAACTGGTGCTTAAAACAGTACGTTTAAAAGAAAATATTTTTAAAAAAAAGTTTTAGCATGCCACACAACGTTTCTATGTAAATTGGTCAGTTTGATTTCTGTGAATATAAAACCAAATCTTGCGAGAAAAGGTCAACAGAATGAAAAGGTCACAGACGTTTTTAGAAACACATCTGAATATCATCATGTTAGTTTCAGACTTTGAAAATAAAAATGATCTGCAGTACAATTTCAGAGAAATAGAAATGGCGTGATCATGAAGAAGAAAAACTAAAAACTTCAAGCAATCACATTCTGCAGCAGGAAGCGTGCAAAACGAATAGTTCATTTTGAATTCAAGAGTGGCACGTGCGTTTTATGTTGAAGTGCCACTTGCTACGTCAGCATGACATCAGAAGCCTTTTACTTGTTTAGAGAACAAGAAAGGGAAAAGGTCACATGTTTTTGTTATGTTTCCTTTTCCAGTTGTCCCCTCTTGCTCTGTGAATGAATATGTGTGTGCCAGTGGGGGGTGTGTGTCAGCCAGCCTGCGCTGTGACGGACATGACAACTGTCTAGATGGTTCAGACGAGGTCAGTGCAACTTTTCATGTTTCAAACAAACAGCAATAAATGATGTAGGGAGGCGTCTTTCAAATGGCCACAGTTTTGTCAGGGAGCTAGTTCACAGATCAAAGATCAGCATGTTAAACAACACTGTTTTGTTTTCCCTTAATTATGTTTTTGGGGACAGGTTGGCTGTGTGAAGGAGTGCAGAGAGGATGAGTTTCTGTGTCTGAATCGTGCACACTGTATCCCCCGGCGCTGGCGTTGTGACGATGTGTTCGACTGCATGGATCACAGTGACGAAGACAACTGCAACCATGGTGGGACAGTGTGACATCATAATATAACTGCTTTTATTTAGTGCTTTAATGTCTAAAAGTGTAGGATCGTGATATTTATTCCATGTGATGCATAAACTAAAATGTAGTGTAGCATTTAAAGGGATGCATAATCCAAATTTTTAGCTGTTAAATGCATTTTGTTGTGTACTTGGAGTCTTTAGTAGTACAGAAATGTTGAATTTACTTTCTCCTGATCCTGCAAAGATATCTTTATATTCTGTTTGGGTCATATTTGTCAGCCTGGCATTTTCTGAGTCTATTAAATTATCTGTGAAGGAATTGCCAAATAAGGTCTGGACTTACCAAATACAATTAATTCTCCTCTGCCTCTGGGTCAGACTCTGGCTTCAACATGTAAGGCTGGATGGACAAGTCTTTGGTTGTTGACATATTTTAATTAAATTGTAAATAAAATGTCTTTCCACTGCTAGAAAGCCAGAGGGGGGCGGGGCTTGAAGCGTCTTAAAGGAACAGTATCAAAACCTGCTTCTTTAAGATGCAAAAATCAGAAAAGTGGTGAAAGAGGGGCTGGTGAAGGTATAATAATGAGGAATTCAGACCAAAGCATTGGAGTTCCACTTTATAAAGACCCCAACTGAATGATTTAAAAGAAGGAGTCAAAAGCATCAGTGGTGGGCAGCGCTAATCCAAAATTTAGCCCCGCAATTTCTAAAGCACTTATGTAAATATTTAGGTATGCAACTTCAAAAGCGTTTATGCCATACCTTCCGCTGTTCAAGATAATGATGACTGGTAGATAATTAGTTATTAGCGGTACTGCATTTTAA